ATGTATATATATATATATATATATATGTATGTGTGTGTGTGTGTTTCTATACATGTGTGTCTGAAATTGATGAGTATTATTTTTAAATAATTTAATTGATTACAAGGCTACAAAGATTTACAATCAATTAAAATTATTAATTTAAAAAATAGAATAAAAATATATTAAATTTCATTTAATAAATTAATATTTTAATATAAATAATAAGATTTAAATCTCACCCCTACCCTTAACATCCTACTGCTGCTTGACTCGAGCTATAAAAACAGCTCTTTGTTGGCGGACAGCTTGTGTTCCTTGCACTCGACTCGCTAATTGAACAAATCGAACACAAATCAATTCTTTGGGCTTGATATATAAAGGAGCCAAACACGAGCATTGATATTTTTTAACAAGCCGAACACGAGCCAAGCCTGGGTTTGCTCAAGCTCGGCTCATTTACGCCCTACTATAGGCATGTCTTCCTTGATGTGTGATATTTTGATTTATTATATATTAAATATATACTATTTTATCATCACATCAATAAAACCTCTATTTTATTCCTTGTTCCCTTCTTTTGTTACAATTGTGTATTTATATTTATCTTGAAAAAAATTTGTAAATTTTTTGGCTTACATTAGAGCTGGTGCAGACATTCGAGGACTCTACGAAGATAGAGACAATCGTGAGTTGGGCAACCTCATAGTCCTTTATCAAGCAGAGTCAATTTTTGAGGATAACAACATTTTACAAGCAGTACATCAAGAGCTTCAGCATCATTACAGCTCCCGTGATAGAGCTTTTTAAAGGAGAGAAGTTTCAATGGAGTTTTTTCTTCGTTGCCCCTTTTCAGAGGCACATTAAGCATTAATGATAGCCCGCTAAAGTGAAGTTTTTTTTTTCTTTCGGTAAGCTCTATGGTTTTGTGATGCAACGATTGGACTTTACAGAGCCCCATTAACCAAGTGGATGAAATAAAGATTTTTTAATCTTAGCAATGACCATTAGCATTCCTGGTTTAAGATTCTTCATCTAGCCAAGGCTTCACACATTTTGATGATATTGAGCCTCAATTATGTTGACTAGCACTTCACCATGGTTGTCATCACTGGTCGGGTAGACTTGTTGAACTTTTTATATTAAGGACTATGTCAGCATTAATCTCGAGACAGATGGCTCGGAAGAAAAATACGGCCAACCAAACGTAGCAGTTGCCGACCATTTGGGAGAGAGATTGGCGAAGAAGGCGTCTGGTTCAAGTGATTGGAAGAACACGCCAGAGAAATTCTCACAGGACGGTGAATAGCCCTCAAGCCGATCGGCAAGAGGTACTATTTAAAATCAAAGGCCAACGGATTCAAGGCTTAGCAGAAGATCGCCAAACTCCCTGCTGCCTGAATCAATTTTGGGCTTATTTTATGTGAATATCTCTGTAATTACAAAAAAATCACTCTAGAAAGTCAATAATGAGGAGACTGATATATAATTTTGTAAAACTGGAACCTGATCCTATAAATAGGGGATTCATGTCATGAATGAAGGCTACATTCTCTTTTATTGTTTTTTACTATGCATTCTCTCTCATTTCTCCTTGTATAACGTCCTATACTTTGGGTGTGTTAACTAGACACTGTTGGATTGTAGAGAAATGTCACAAGATACACTATTAGACCTTCTTAGATCATTGTTTTCTTTTAGAGGTCTTTGTGTTAGTTCTCATAACTAATAAATAAATTAGAATTGAAATTGGTTTGATTTTATTACTCCTAAAAGCAAGTTTAAAATTGGCATTTGGAGTTTTAAGTAGTTTTTAATTAATTGTTGTGATGGCCAACACAATTATTGGAAAAAATAGTATCATTTAGGGCCCCTAAGTTTTTTCTCTCCTCTGAGGTGATATTTGGTAGCATAGTTTAAAGAGGATTTAGCATAAATCCAGGCAAACATCAAAAAAAAAAAAAACCAAAAATTAAATCCAAAGTTCTGTTAAATCAAAAATTTTTGTGTTCCATCTTTTCTCCCTGCATTTTGTCTCTTTTAGGATATAAATCCGGATTTAAATTCGATTGCGAGACGGATTTAAAAATTTGATCTTGCTGTTGCTTGCGAGTTCATCTCTGGGCATTGACGACCAAATTTACTAGATTTAATAAATCCTATTTAACATAAATTCAAGCTGCAGCCAAACATCTCCTAAAAAACAATTCACGTTCAATTGGAAAGTGAAAAAGATTTGGAAGATTTCAAAATTAATGAAAAACGAGATCAAATGAATGGCTGGAGGCATGCTATTTAAATACATTAAGTCCCAATTTCCTAAATGTTTTACTCAATCGATTTTATTTTTAAAATAATGTTTGAATTGAATCGACATTTTTTACCACTTCCTCAATAATCGAGCAAAATTACCCGCATATATATTTCTCCAATACAGCACAAAGCCGGTAAAAAACGAGATTTAGGTTTTAATCCAACCTACCTGGCCACAGAGAAGGTCCACGGAGTGATGAGCTGCTCCTCCGTCGCCCGATCTTCGCCATAGACGTCTTCCACGCCGCCGGCCACCCCAGACTTGGGATCAAGATCCAGCACCGACGTCCCGTCCCCTCTGCGCTCCTTCATCATGCTCTCCATCGGAATGCCCCACCACCGCTGCAACACAAATTCTCCGCCAACACTCTACTTCTCCCACCGACCCTCTCCTCCTCAAACCCAACCAAAGAAGAAAACAACTCAATCAGATTTGGCTACACCTTCAACTTACATGAATATAATCATAAAATAAAACATCGGCCGCTCTCAGGCCCCCATAATACAGCCACGTTGGGAGATGATCACAGCACAGATTCTGCAGATAATGTTTATAATTTGTAGGACAGTGTTGAGGAAACTGGGTTTAACCAGAAAGCAGCATTTGTACAGCGACGATAACATTTCTTCCTCCTGGGAGCGCGATGGAGCTGCAGCTCAGCTGTGGGGGCGCACGAGGTTTGCACAAGTGGACGAAAAAGATTAATCACGTGTTTGAAAAGCGAGATTTATATACATGAGTTATAGAGGGAAAAAATTACTATTTTTCGGTATAATGAGATTATATCTGCAGTATAACCTCTTCTAACTTTTATATAATCTTCTGTAATTTATTTGTAACATACTAATAAATTTTTATATGATAACAGAAGCACGGAACTTATACCCTCCTTAAAATTTCGAAATCGCACGCAGCGCTGTGTGCGCCTATCGTACGCAAATTTTTTCCGTCATAGAGAAACTCAAGATTTAATATTTTCTCATTTTTTACGGGGCGAGTCAAGTCCATTCTTAACTCGCTAGGACTCAACTCGATAATTAACTCATGAACTGAGCTCGATGAGCTAATAAATGAAGCTGAAGCTAACCCTAATTCAACTCATTCGCTTTTGAGCAGGTTCTTTTAAAAATAAATAATTCAAATCTGCCTAAATATATATTAAATTAAAAAAAAAACTTTAAATTATTAAAAATATTTAAAACTGTTATTTTACATTTTATGTCAATTAATTTTTTTATAATTATCTTCTAAAATTTCATTCTATTTATCATTTATTTTTAGCATAAACTTAAATTAACAAGTTTTTTCTTTATTTTGTGCTGAATAAGCCAGCTTGTGAGCCATTTCTAACTCATAGAAATAAACCCGAGCTCAAGCTCAAAACAATCAAACGACTAAGGATGAGGACACACCGATCAGAGCATTAAATTCAAAAAACATGATCTAAACTGGTCATCTGAATGGCCAGCAGACTGATCAAGTATACCCTCAGAGAATTTGATCGGCTAGCTACGGTCCCAATTGATGAAGCTCTCTAAAGGACATTCAAACACAACTAGCCGACTGACCGCTCATAGCTTGGCAGAACATGTCGACCGGCTGATTTAATTCGCACTGGGCCCGAGGCTTTGGTCGATCATAACATGTTGACCGACTAATTACTATTATATCTAAATTCAAATTGTAAGATAAATTTAGTGTTAAATCAACACATTTATTGCATTGAGGGTAATTTATATGATCGCTCGCTCCTTTTAGTAATTGGGGGCTATTTTTATAATCTCTCTCTCTCTCACTTTTTTGTAATTGTACAAGAATACCTCCTATAAATATGAGGCTCGACAATGAACAAAGGGACCCTGGGTCTGATGACTTTTTCCTCAGCTTCTTTACTGATAACTCACTAGCATTTTTTTCTCTCTCTACTCCTTCCTCTGGCTCTAACTCTCGATGTGTATATTTCCAAAGGACAATTCCGGACTAACTACGAAGGTGGAGCGAAGAGCGTGGACATGCTCCAGAGGAGAAGCTGAGTCAACTACGAAGGAGAACCCTTGCAGAGAGAAATAGCGTCCATGGAAGTCAACAGAGAGATAATGAATAGGCATGTAGGAAGCGGTCCAAGCATTGTGAGAGCAAATAATGGACCAGCTCGAGGGTTTTAGAGCGGCAATGATCCCATAAAACGCTCGATCGCCGCCCATGAAGGGAGAGTCTTGGGGAACCCGCCTCAGGAAGGCTCACATTGATAATCAGCCATCACCCCACGGTTGGCCCGGTGATCGGCCAATCGAAGGACCAAGGGATTTCGATCCAACGGATGTGTTGCATCTACACCAACAGCCCAACATCAAGCAGAGAGTGGGAATGTTTGTTCGGTCGGCTGTGGGTAGCGCTTTTGAGTCAGCGGTTGTAGTCCTACAGATCGATGACATCATGAAGTGCCGACTGTTCCTGACTACGCTAAAAGAAGTCAAGCTTCAACGGTTTAAAATTCTATCATATGGGATCATCTCGCTTTTCTTTGAATTCCAGAAGCTCTTCCTGACATACCTTACTTCCTTAGGATATGGGATCGCGATGGAATTGAGCTTCACTTGCATTGGGATGACCCCATGATTATAGAAAATGGAGCACAATTCAATATTAAATGGTAGGCGAAGGCCGAATTGAAATTGGTTCCTGCAAAATAAAAGTTCATCATGGTAAAGTAAGGTTACCCTATCCATCTCATTAAAAACTTGAAGTTTGATGGAATCATCAAAGATATGACTCTGTCGTAGCGAGTCGAAAATTTACAACAAAGCACTTGAAGACCAATCAAAGGAAACCCAATATCTAAAAAGAGCATTCGTCACTGCTTGACCAAGACACACCCTAACTAATGTAGCCTTCATCTTCACCCCCCCCCCCGATACCTAAATCGATTCAATTTTTCTAGGGCTTAAAAAGAAGAGACTTTTCTAGCAAAACTGAAAGCTCACGACAAAGGGTCATCAAGGTCTTCTCCACCTTTTCCATATCATCCAATAACTCAGGCATCTTCTTTCCATGATGAATCCTTGTCTATCCAATCGAGCAAAAGAACTTTCAGTCTCCTCTTGATGATGAGCTAGTAATTCATGTGACATTTGGGCCCCTTCTATGACTTCACACACATCTCAGGGTGAAGCAAAGGGTTTCCAGGGTGATCGACCCCACCATCTTAGCTAGAAAGTCGACCGCTCTCACCAAGCACATGATCTATGCTCACTGGTGGCTCGGTCGGACCTTCATCTAGTTTTAACAGAGCCAGTTCCTTTGCATAAAAAAAATTTCATAAACAAAAAAGGTTTCAAATCAAAATCTGAAAGTTCAACCCCATAAACACAAGACAAAAGTCTCTTATACGTAGGAACTGGAAGATTTCAGACATTATAAGCAACGCAATAAGCTCATCAGGAAGCATCAGTGAAAACAACAAAAGTGCGCTGGAAGCCACTTGCGTGGCATAAATGGTCGGGGGTCCTTGAACAGTTGTAGGAGGTTGAATAGTCGGGTCGAGAATCAAGCCAATAAATAGAGCATTATTTCTTGTTGTGCCAATGATTGAATCAGATGACCCCACTTATTGGTAGAGAGAGTGCAATTATCTTCCTCTTGATGATTTTCTTCCTTTTTTCATCCTCTGGGAGATCTCATTCTTTCAATTTTTTTGAAATAGAGCAAATCAGGCTTTTTGTGAGAAAGTCATCTTGAGACTTCGTTAGTTTGTCCATCACAATGCCAAAGGCATAAGAGCCAACCGACTTAAACAAAGGGAAGCACAAAGTGAAGCAGGCAAAAGAAGGCATCCTATTGAACTAATTATAAAAATTAGAAGCTCGGAAATCAAAGGAGTTCAAATGTTAAGTCATTAATTAAAATTTAATTAAATATATTTTTTTATTAAAATTTTTTATTCCTATAACAACGTTGCTTTGAATAACTAAGACAGTAGATGAGCTTAAATATGTACACAAAAAAGTGTTTACACTGAACTTACGAAGATTTAACAGTTCGTAAAGGAAGAATACGATAGAGGCAAATCCCTTGAAAAGAGATCATGCAGCCCACCAGGCCGGACGAGTCAAGTAGGATGAGCCAAGTCAATCAGGTTAGCTCAACTGTGGGATATATTATTGCACAAAACATCTTCAACCATCCAGTAAAGGCTAAAGGACTTCTTATCGGAGATTAGAGATAGCCAACTATGCTAGGTTAGTTGATTGAGCCTTACCGACTAAGCTCAGCATACTAAGCTAACTTAGTTGAGACGAGCTAACTAAGCTTAGCCGACAGAGCCAAAAGGTGACCAGGCAATGAGTCGTCGCTCATTAAATACTAGGAATATCTTAGTATAACATTTTAGGGAATATCATAGTATATACTTTCTTCAAATGAGGGTAAAATTATACTATTACTATTGTGTTCTTTATAAATAGATGAAACATTTAATTAAGGTGGGCTCGGAATGCGAGACTTATCACATTGTCTGGTAAACTGCTTGGGGCTCACATACCTCATGTTGAATTAATTGTATTATGGGCCGGAGCAATGAACCTATTTGAAGTGGCTCATTTCATACCAGAGAAACACATGTATGAATGATGATTGATTTTACCTCCACATTTAGCTACTCTAGGGTGGGGAGTAGGTCAACGTCCAGGGGGAGAAGTTATCAACTCCTTTCATCTGGAGTACTCGACTTAATTTCCTCAGCAGTCTTAGGCTTTAGCGATATTTATCATGCACTTCCAGGACTTGAAACTCTTGAAGAATCATTTTCATTCTTCGGTTATGTATGGAAAGATAAAAAGAAAATGACTACAATTTTTGTTATTCACTTAATTTTATTACGTATAAGTTCTTTTCCTCAAGTGCTTAAGGCTCTATATTTTTGAGGTGTACATAATTCCTAGGCACCCGGAGGTTAATGAGGATGGGAAAAAGGGTGCCTTATACTACCATAGTGGTCGCCTCATCCAGGCTGAACTGAAATATCCGATAATCGAGAAACACTATTTCGCGTTGAAATTCTCAGTACACAAGCTAAGACATTACATGCTCTCACACCCATATCAATCTGATCTCAAAGATAAATTCTTTAAAATACCTGATGACTCATCTCACCCTAGCTGGGCAGTTGCGAGATAGGTCATGCTCCTATCGTAGTTCAACATTTTATATGTCCCTCAACGAGCCATCAAAGAATAGGCTTTTGTGGATTTTCTAGTGATACTCCTAAAGTCTATTTAATACTTTTTTTCCTAATAAAAAATATTTTTCAATATTATTCCTTTCTGTAGATGCCAGGTTGCAAATTTATTATAATATAATAATAAATTTTTTAAAATTTAAATAAATAAATAATGCCTTGCGCGACTGATTGGTGTGCACGCTATTTTGCAAACACATGGTCGCGGGTTCAAGGCGTTGCAGCAGAGGGAGAGAATGAGAGAGGAAATGAGGTATTTTAAAATACCTCTGTTTTTTCAAAAAAAATAAAATATTTGTTTTTTTTTTTTTGTCTCTTAACTCGTCTGAATTGCGAAAGTAAATTTTTTATATTTGAGAAAATTTTGT